GCAAGCCAACACAAATTCCCTTATGTCACGAGCCATAAGTGGCCACCAGAATCGTTGTTTGACTAGAGACAAGGTACGACTCACCCCAGGATGACAGGCCAACTTGGAAGAGTGACCCCAACGTATGACGTCAGACCATAAATCCTCTGGCACAAATAAACGACCCGGTGGGCATCCAGGCGGAGGCGTTACCCCTTCTAAGGCCATGCGGACCCTTGACTCGATCTCCCAGGTGACAGCAGAAATAAAAAGTCTGCGTGGCACGATGGCTTCAGGAGATGATGCATGCTCGGAGTGATCAAAAATTCGAGAAAGTGCGTCAGGTTTAACATTCTTGGAACCTGGTCGGTACGAGATGGAAAAATCGAAACGTCCGAAAAATAAAGCCCACCGTGCCTGCCTAGAGTTCAATCTTTTGGCGGATTGGATGTACTCCAGATTTTTATGATCGGTCCAAATGATAAAGGGAACCCCCGAACCCTCTAGCCAATGACGCCACTCTTCCAACGCAAGCTTGACAGCCAGCAGCTCTCGATTACCAATATCATAATTTCGTTCTGCTATGTTGAGACGATGAGAAAAATACGCGCAAGGATGCATCTTGTTGTCCGAGGAAGAGCGCTGGGACAGGATAGCACCGACCCCACCTCTGATGCGTCAACCTCCACCACGAACTGCCGTGATGGATCAGGGGCAATGAGAATGGGGGCTGAAACAAAGCAGCTTTTCAGTCGGTCGAATGCAACTTGTGCTGCATTGGACCACCTGAACAGAGTCTTGATGGAGGTTAAGGCAGTCAGAGGCGTGGCGAGCTAGCTGAAGTTGCGAATGAAACGCCCGTAAAAATTGGCAAAACCAAGAAACCTCTGCAGGGCCTTGCGGGAGTCTGGGGCTGGCCAATTTACCACAGCCTGAACTTTCTCTGGATCCATGCGCATCCCCTCGACCGACACGATATGTCCCAGAAATGGAACAGACTGTGCATGGAATACGCATTTCACCGCCTTGACATAAAGCCCATTCTCTAGCAGCCTCTGAAGCACTTGCCTGACATGTTGAATATGTTCCTAGATAAAATGAGAAAATATCAGTATGTCATCCAGGTAAACATAAATGAACTGATCTAGCATATCTCTCAACACATCATTAACGAATGCTTGGAAGACTGCAGGGGCATTGGACAGACCGAAAGGAAGAACGCAATACTCAAAGTGCCCCCTGGGGGTATTAAATGCAGTCTTCCATTCACCGCCCTCTCGAATATGGACCAAATGGTAAGCGTTGCGGAGATCTAATTTTGTGAAAAAGGACGCCCCCAGCAGACGTTCGAAGGCAGAAGACATCAGCGGCAAAGGATAAGTATTCTTCACCGTGATAGCGTTCAGCCCTCGATAGTCAATACAAGGACGGAGGGAGCCATCTTTCTTTTTCACAAAAAAAACCCCCGCCCCTGCTGGTGATGAAGAAGGACAGATGATCTTAGCTGTTCGAGAATCAGAAATATATTTCTCCATGGCCTACCTCTCTGGGGCAGAGAGCGAATAAAGTTTGCCTTTAGGCGGAGACGTACCTGGCAATAACTCTATAGCACAGTCATAGGGATGATGTGGAGGCAGAAAAGCAGCTCGAGACTTACTGAACACTCTCTTCAGGTCGAGGTACTCACTGGGCACGTTTGACAGATCCATGTGTTCCTCCTGAAAAACAGAACGAGACACAGAAGAACAGGCAGACAACAGACACGTAGCATGACAGCTCTCACTCCAAGAAATTATTGATTCCTGCCTTCAATTAATATGTGGATTGTGCGTTACCAGCCATGGATGCCCAAGGACCACTGGAGTGACAGGGGCTTCTGTTAAAAAAAAAAAGAATAATTTCAGTGTGGTTACCAGATGTGATCAATCTTATAGGACCAGTGGAATGAGTAATGGAAGGAAGAGAGGACCCATTGAGAGCATGAACAGATATAGGTTGCGAGAGAGAAATTACAGGAAGTCCAAGTCTTTAAACTAAATCAGAGTCAATAAAATTTCCCTCTGCACCAGAGTCAATAAGTGCTTTAGTCATAAAATTCCCAAATGACCACTCCAACTTAACCTTCAAAAGTGTGGCTGCAAGAGAGGATTTGTCCAAAGATACCCCACCCGTCAGTAACCTCTTACCTACTGACGGGCTCTGGCTTTTACGGGACAATGAGCCGAGATGTGATTCGCACCAGCGCAGTACAAACACAGTCCCTCGCTGCGGTGTCTGCGCTTCTCCTCCAGCGACAGCCTAGAGCGGCCCATCTGCATGGGTTCAGGTTCCGAGAGGGGCGTGTCCACTGTACCCGGAAAAACAGTAGCAGCCGGAAGAGGGGAGTTCTCCAAGGCGTGTGTGTGTCGCGTGTGTCTCTCACGGAGCCGAAGACGAGAATCCACGTGGATGGCTAAATCAATGAGTCCATCCAGGGTTTTAGGAAGATCCAAAGCAAAGATCTCGTCTTTTATACGGTCTGCTAGCCCGTGGAGAAAGACGTCCCACTGTGCCTGAGCGTTCCACTCACTCTCCGCCGCCAGGGTGCGGAACTCAATGGAGTAGTCAGCAACACTCCGTTGCCCCTGCTGCAACTCCGTGAGCATCCGGGCCGCCTCTCTGCCCGCTGCGGCTCGATCGAAAACCTTTTTCAGTTCCTCTGAAAAGGCTTTAAATGTTGAACAACATGGGAGTTTCTTCTCCCACACAGCTGTTCCCCAAAGCGCCGCTCTTCCAGTGAGAAGCGTGATGGCAAACGCTACTTTCGATTCCTCCGTGGGAAAGGAGGAAGGCTGCAAGGAGAAGTACAGCGAGCATTTCGCCAAAAAGGCACAACACAACTCCGGTTCTCCGGAGTAGAAGGCTGGAGGTGGAAGGCGAGGTTCGGTAGATCGAGCAGCTTGATCAGACACGGCCACTACCGGTGGACCAATATTAGCTGCAACATGCTGCTGGACCACCCTCAGCAGTATGAAGACTTTGCAGCTGTGTGGTGAGTTCAAACACCTTATTTACCAACGCTTGGATAGCGCGACTGGTGTTGTTCATCTGCTCATCTTGCCTGTCCATGCGTGTGGTGGCCTGCGTAGCAAACTCCTGCAAGCCGGGGATACTCGCTGGATCCATGTGTGATCAGTCCTTTCTGTCACGACACTAGACGAAAAGGATCCAATTGCAAGTGTTTATTAACTGAAAAATTAAACAAAGGATATCACTGGAGTGAACTGGAGACAAGAAAGTTCAAAACGAGAGCCACGGGTCACAATGAAGACATCAATGAACAACGAAGGATTCTGGAAAACAACAGACAGAAACAAGACAAACAACGGACTGATAACCAGAACATACCACATGAGGAAATATATAGCCAGGCAAATAAGGACCAGCTGGAAGATAATTAAGTCAGCTGATGACATCAGCTGATCCAAAAGCACGCTGTCAACACAAAAGGTAAACAAACACACACCCTCACACATGACAACACACAAGGCAAGATACATAACATACAGAAGGAACACACAGATCCATAAACTGTGACAATATATATATATATATATATATATATATATATATATATATATATATATATATATATATATATATATATATACATACACAGGGTGATTCAAAAAGAATACCACATCTTAGAAAATCTGTATTGAATCAAATAAACATGATGGAACCTTTGGTAATTAGTCAATGTGGGGAGTGCTTAAAGTTTTTTTTCAGTAGAGAACAAGTTCCCAGATCTTCAATATGACCCCCTCCAGACACTTGAGTGACATCAACCCGAAAGTTGTGGTATTTTTTTAATCACCCTGTAAATGTGAAGGAAGTGACAGTGCTGGATTCAAATGCTCAGTTGTACACACTGTGCTTGTGAGCACCACAACAGCACTGACAAACACATCTCTGCACATAAACGATTATGTCTGGAATTTACTTTCTGTTTTATATTTTGATTATCTGAGCATTATTTTATTTATTAAAAAATACTGTTTTATTCCGTTTTATGTCTATATGGAGTGCTTTTTGTTAATACTAGTACAAATTTTATTTGAAATCTTTTTAACGGTTGGTGATCCCAAATTTTAATATTATTGTAATTATTATTAATATTCATTTCATTTTCCTTCGGCTTAGTCCCTTTATTTATCAGGGGTCGCTACAGCGGAATGAACCGCCAACTTATCCAGCATATGTTTTACACAGCAGATGCCCCTCCAGCTGAAACCCAGTAAAAGGAAACATCCATAAACACATTCACACACTACGACTAATTTGGTTCATTCAATTCACCTGTACTGCATGTCTAGGGACTGTAGGGAATACCGGAGCACCTCAAGAAAATCCACGCCAACATAGGGAGAACATGCACACAGAACTGCCAACTGACCCAGCTGGGACTCAAACCAGTGACCTTTTTGCTGTGAGGTGACAGTGCTAACCAGAGCCACCGTGTCAACACTTATTATTATTATTATTATTATTGCATGATCGTTTAAAGTTTTTGCATTTCTTCTTGATATTTCCGTTTCTTTACAATAATTAACCTTAATTTAGCACATTTGTTGATACATTGTGTATTGTTATGTTATTTTTATTTATTATTAGTTAATTTATTGGTGAGTTGAAAGTATAGTCCAACCTAGCTATCAGTATAGGCCGATAAAAACAGTCTAGTTGACTTCTAGTTTTGTCTATTCCGGTTTTCAATATTCCTCAGAATATCAGAAAAAATGTTTAAATATTCAGCAAAAAAAATTGCGTGTACTTAAGGGATTAAAAACTTTTATTTTTGTTTGATCTGTTCCTTTAATGGCTTAATGTTACGTAACACAACTGTAATATATTGTCACAGCTAAATGAACACAGAAATCATAGACCCCTAAATTAGCTCTTCCGGATGAAATGAAACTGCTAAGGTGTGATAAAGTAAACTATTTAGAAATACTCAACAATTTATGTGTGTTTTCTCACAGAATTCTGGCTCAGATCTGTCTCTACAGCTCTTGTTTTTTGATGGAGAAGAGGCTCTTTATCAGTGGACATCTGAAGACTCTCTGTATGGCTCTCGTCATCTGGCCCACAAAATGGCCACAGCATCACATCCACCAGAAGCCACCAACACCAGCCAGCTTGACAGCATTGTATACTTCATTTACAGTCCCACATTTTTCTCCATATTATTTCTTGTTTCAAAAAAACATTACTTTCATCGTTCTCATATTATCCCAAACCTGTATGACAAAACTAGTCATGAGGGTTTTTTTTTATTGGCAGAGATGCCACTATTGAAAATCTAAAATCTAAATGTTAAAAAAAATTAAAATACAAAAATTGTCGAAATTAAGTTATTAGCATTGCATATTTCTAAAATGTTACATTTTTTTTATTTACAGAAGGAGATTTAAATAATGTCCTCATAGAACATGAAGAACAGATTAAACATTTAAATAAATATGGTTAACAGACTGATGATATGTACATTCATATTATTACTATTAATCTAATTATGAATTGGAAAACTGACAGAAAACAAACTAATATTGAACTTCAATATTGAAAATATTGAACAAAGTAAGTTTTTTGTTCATTACTTCGTTTAGCATGCATTTATTAATTTTTTCCCAGGATCTGTTTGTTCTGCTGGATTTGATTGGAGGTCCTAATCCTCGATTTGGAAATCAGTTCTCTAGTACAACCCGGTGGCTTTCCAGACTACGGAATATTGGTTAGTATTACTCTTTTCTGTTTTGTTGTGTGCCATCTTCTTTTTTGCCTCTCCTTCTCCCTTTTTTATATTATGTTACTCCTACAGTATGCTGACACTCAACGAATAAACTAACCAGCAATGAAACCATTCTTGTCTTTTGAGTGTATCTCAGTAAATCTGGAAAGAATTCATATCGCTTCACCTTTTTCCACATTTTTTAAGCCACAAACTTATTCCAAAATCGATTAAATTCGTTTATTTTCTTAAAATTCTACACACAGTACCCCATAATGACAATGTGAAAAAAGACTTTTTGCAATTGTTGAAAATTTATTTTTAAAAAAACAAACAAACTGAAAAATCACATGTACATCAGTATTCAAAGCCTTTGCTATGAAGCTCTAAATTGAGCTCAGATACTTTCTGTTTCCACTGATAATTCGTTACATATCAGCAGCTTAACTGGTACCTGTGGTAAATTCAGTTGATTATACATGATTTGAAAAGACATACACTTTTATAGGTAAGATCCCAGGGTTGACAGTGCATGTCAAAGCACAAACCAAGGATAAAAACAAAGGAATTGTCTTTAGACATCCGAGACAAGATTGTCTCTGGCTCAGATCTGTCTCTACGGGCCCTATCATACACCCGGCGCAGTGTGGTGCAAGACGCGGCGCAATAGTCTTTTGGTAGTTTCGGCTTGCCGCAAGAGTCGTTTTGAGGCGTTGCGCTACGCTGTTTAAATAGCAAATGCATTAGCACTCATTTGTGCGCCCATAGCCGTTCGGGTCTAAAAAGGAAGGCGTTCTGAGGCGGACCACTGGCGTGAAGCTATTTTGAGAAACTATAATAGATTTTTCATTAGACCAAAACTAACCCGGTCTAAACTCCTCGCTTACGCACTGCTTAATACGCACAAGAGAGCAATAGGCAAATATCTTTACATATGAAAAAATTTATATATTAAGGATATATATATATAGGATATAATAAGAATAGATATAGGATATAAATATAAAGGATTAAAATATGACAAAACATAATTTTCTAGCCTACATAAATATGAAAAATCACAATTTTTATGTCTTCATCTCGGGAGGCTTTTTCAGTTAATTTATAACAATTTGATTTTGTATAATGTTATTATTATTAGCAGTATTATTTAATATATCCATATTTATATTTGTTTTATTAAAAACAAGCTTAGATTTGCCCACCTGTCAGGTTTTAGACCATAAGGGGCACAGCATGTGTTTTTGGATATTACTCAGGTTTTTGAACACACTTCGTTAATATTGTTCATTTATTCGTTTGCTAGAAATTAGAACTGAATTTAGAAATAGTTTTGAAACAAATCTTTGCGCTTAACAAACGAAATTAATTATTTATAGGCTAATTGATGTCTGTGCGTAAAGGTTTCCCTATCCAAGAGCGAAAGTGAAAGTAGATCATTTATCTCTCATTCTCATGCAGTAGATGCTCTGTTTAATAGTTTTCTGTTTAAAAACTGTCAACTGTTAACTGTTTGCTTGTGAAATGCTAATTTTTTCCACTTAGACTTACTTTGCGTCCTGTAAATAGCGAATGCGGTCTTGGCGCGACGCAGCTGGGTCTCAAAGGGAATGAGAGATGAGACTCTAATTGGTTTATTCTCAAAACACACCTATAACTCATCAAGAAAATAAACTCAACCCTTTTAGACCATGCACCTTGGCGCAAGGCAGATTTCCCTTCCTTAAATTAGCAAAAACGCGTCCTGACACGCCCTGAAAGCATTTGCGCCCTGCGTTTTGCGCTCTGCGCATGGACCGTCAAAATAGAGCCCTACAGCTCTTGTTTTTTGAATAAACAAAATATAATTTTAGGGATAATGAATTTTTTTTTTCATTAATTAATTTTAAAGAGCACCTATGGTAAAAAATCTACTTTTAAAGCTGTTTGCACAGACATGAGTGTAGGTATAGTGTATAGACTCTAATCATATTAGGGTGATATAAACACACCCAGTCCTTTTTTTTTTCAATTTAACAATATAAAAAACAGTGTACCAAATGTAGTTTTTTTGAGACAGAATGCAACTTGACGTAGGGGTGCGGTCCCCCCGCCCATCAATATTGATTGACAGACGCGCGTTACCACATCCTCAATTTGTTGTTTTTAGTCCGCCATTTTCAGCGTGTGAGTCAAAGCGATGTCACCAAAGAAAGATCCTTGCTCTATTTTTGAATGTAAGGCTCATTGTGCTCAACACAATACATCGTCTTCCTGCGAATGAGCAACAGAGATTTTACATTTAGCGGCCATTTGCGCTGAAAATGCAGTGAATGCTACGTATCAAGATTCGGGCCACTAAAAACAGCTGATACACCAAGTCTTTCAGCACTCTCTCCGAAAATACTCAATTGATTTTGGCTTGTGGATAACTGGCACATTAGGAATATTGATTGCTCAACAGTAGTCTCTGCTTGGTGTGTGTCCAGGTTGTACATGTATGGCTGAATGCTGGTCCTCCCATTTATGTTGCTTCTCTCTATCTGCCTGTCTGTTGCCATACACAAAACGGAGGTGTTCTTGGCTCTGCCCCATTGTTAAGTTGGGCGGGATGTCCGATTTTCATGTGAAGCAACACACCTCTAAAGCAACGACCTTTGTATACACACCCAAAATGACTTTTTGACACATTATAATAAATAAATCAGAACTGTGTTTTGAACTGAACCTTAACTGGCACATTCAGAAGAACCATAATATTAACATTAAATCTTTAAAAAGGAGTAAGCTAAGTGCCTTTAAATAAGGAAATTGCAAATTAGGGTTGGGCCGATAGATGATGCCATCGCCGAAGGCCAATAGACAATCCGATGCTGAGCTGGCATTGCCCCCATCGCAAACCCACAAGCGGAAATTGCACACTTAGGCCCCATTTACACTAATTTGTCTTAAGTGTTATAATGGCATTTTAGAACAAAAATAATCCACATCCACACCATGTTTTACCTTTATGAACAGCCCTCTGTCAGCTGAAAACGCACATCACGTGACCACACACACATAGCCAAACACACACGCTCGTAGCTACAGAGAGCAGTGCACGTCGAACATCTTATCAATGATGTACCGCTGGATCGCGTCTCACTATTGTTGTTAAACGTGATATTTTATTGATCTTGTCTCTATCTGACGACTCTTTGGCCTTGTGAATCTATCAGGTAACTTGTCAGAGCATTAGTGCACAGCTTCAGTCTTTCACTTTCACACTTGTACTTAGTAATTTTATTAAAAACTTCAGATACTGTCGGTTGTGCACCTTTTTACCAACCAACCTCCTGCGGAAAAAGTGATTGACAGGTGGTAATTTGTTTGTAATTTTGTTTAACTTTATTTATTTATGATTTGTTTATGTGTAAAACAAAGTACATGCAGGTCAGGTAGTTGAAACGGTAGGCTGCAAATAGTTAATTCGTTATGAATTCATTAATTATTCATAAAATAATTAATTCACCTCCGCCATTGACAACAATGCCATTGTCCATCTTGAAGTTTCACATTAGACATTGTACGATGGCAAATTGGTCGACATTGCCCAACCCTATTGCAGATAATATTGAAAAAGGCTAAGGATGGAATGATACCATAATATAAAACATAAGTCATGTTGTAACTGTCCGATGTTGCATTGCAACTGTCTTCTACATATGAGCAGTTTGAAATTGAAAGTGCAATCTAGGAAAAAAAAAATCATTGCACTGGTCTCAAATGTTAGTTCTTTACCATAAACTGATGCTTTTGCATCATTAGGGGGCATAACATTTCAGAATAATAAACTGAACTGAAATGTCCAATAAAGCTGAAATATTGACAATCACTGCTTAAACCAAAACAGTACTAAATACACCCTGACCCTTATAAAAAATAATAAATGATTGCTGATAGGAGAAGTGTCTTTTTTGTTTGTTAGAGCGTCGGCTACATGCTCTTGGTCAGCTGGAGAATCACCCTAATGAGGTTCAGTATTTCTGGCCTGGCCTGCATGTGGGACTTATTCTGGATGACCACATACCATTCCTCAACCGAGGTAAAAGACCTTTTTGTGGGGTTATTAATGCTTTTATTTTAATAACAAGCATTTCAAGATTTACTTCAATCAAAAATGAAAATTCTGTCATACTTTTTTAATCCTAGTGTTCTTCTCAACCCAAAAGAAACTTTTTGTTGTCGTTACACAAATTAAGATATTTTATATCGAATCAGAGAGATTTCTGCCCCTTTGCTTAAGTAGATTAATTAGTTTATGGTTTAATCCAAGTCTTGAGAAGAGACACAATGACTTCATGATAAACATATTAATTGCTATATAAACATTGAGCCGCAAACAATGTTTGCCCAAGCTTAACATGCAAACCTTTTATTCATTTTTGTACAGTTGAATTTTAGCAAGAACCTGAGAGTTTTATGATGATATGTTTGAGCTTCTGTTTATTCTTGCATATCAATGTTTATTTACAAAGATTTTTAGATGGAGAAACTTTTAGTGGAGGGACAGAAATCAGATTTTATTGAATTAACTTTTGTATAACATGATGGTGAGTAAATCATGACAACATTTTTGGAGTGAATTAACCTTGTTTTTTTCTCTCCAATGGCAGGAGTCCGTATTCTCCATCTTATTTCAACACCTTTTCCTGCGGTGTGGCACACATTTGATGACAATGAGGAGAACCTTGACCAAACCTCCATCAGTAATCTCAACAAATTTTGCAGGTCTTTGTTCTTGAATACCTCAACAAGAAGAGCCCAGAAAATCAAGTTGTGGAAGGCTCATAATGTTTCATAAGTTTACCACCAGTCACCTGTTTCTCATACAAATAAGAACATTAAATGTTCTAATTTAGTCAGTTTGGGTAATTTCAGATGTGACTAAGCTGTCACTGGGTTTGTACCTTTTCAAAAATTCTCATTTTGACATTGTATAATGATGGTTTGTTTTATAGACAATAAAAAAAAACATTGCTTAATGGGGCTAGTAATATTTACTTTAAAATGGTTTCTAAAAGACTTAAAAACTGCTTTTATTCTAGGTAAAATAAAACAAATAACATTTACTTCAAAAGATAATTCATTCATTCATTAATTCTCTTGTCTGCTTAGTCCCTTTATTAATCCGGGTTTGCCACAGTGGAATGAACCACCAACTTATCCAGCAAGTTTTTACGCAGCCGATGCCCTTCCAGCCACAATCCATCTCTGGGAAACATCCATACACACTTATACACACACACTACAGACAATTTAGCCCACCCAATTTACCTGTACCGCATGTCTTTGGACTGTGGGGGAAACCCACGCGAACGCAGGGGGACCATGCAAACTCCACACAGAAACACCTACTGAGCTGAGGCTTGAACCAGCAACCCAGCGGCCTTCTTGCTGTGAGGCGAACGTGTTACCCACTGCGCCACTGCGTCGCCTTTCAAAAGATTATATAATATAAAAACATTATAGAAAATACAGTGAAAAATTCTTTGCTCTGTTAAACATTATTTGGGAAAAAAAATAAAAATAAGTAAATTTTCAAGAGGGCTTATAATTTTGACTTTAACTGTATGTACACGTATACCCCTCTCATGTCATACATTCTTAAAGAGATAGTTGTACCAAAAAGGAAAATTACATCAGTGTACAAACTGTATAAGTACCTAAATAAGATATATCAGAAAGGTACTGCCATCTACTTTTGAAAGGTACTGCCACGGTGACATCTTTGTTTGTACCTTTTCTGCAGGTATTTTCTATCACAAAATTAGTTTGTTCTTTTTTTATATTCTCTAAGTTTCAACCAGAATGATGAATTAATGGTTAAAATTAAAATGACATTTTAGTAATCTAAGATCAGACTCAGCAGAGTTTACTGTGTGTTGAAATAGTATTATCTTCATCTCCTCTGGCTTTCTGAAAGCCCTGTTTATTCCTCAGAAAAGCTAAATACTTCTAAATGTAATATGGTACTTGATAAATATAATTTTCTTGCTGGTTATATGAATAAATAATAGAGTTTATAGCAGCCTTAGGTATAGTTATGGGTTGTTATTTAAATGTAAACTACTAAATGATAGAGAATCAGAGAATCATTGATTCTGCAGGCTGCCGCTATTGTCATGTGCTCCAGCTTTCAGTGTGTTCTTTATCGACTATTGGGCTCTGAAAGCTTTTAATGTCACATTAAACGTGTATCTAATTTGAATTGCTGATACTAATGCAAAACAGATAATAAATATTTTATAAAGCAGAAAACTAATCTTGTCTCTTCTTTATTAATGCAGAGTTATAAATATTAGTATGTGTGTGTGTGTGTGTGTGTGTGTGTGTGTGTGTGTGTGTGTGTGTGTGTGTGTGTGTGTGTGTGTGTGTGTGTGTGTGTTTATAAGTGAAGTGTGCCTTTAAAAACTTCAAAAAATATTATGAACTCTTCATAAAGCTAAAGCTTATCTCATGAGGCACAAATCTTAGTGCCATGGTGACATATAGACAAACATATAATTGGTGAATTGTGTAATGTTGAAATTATAAATTATGATGAGTGTTAAATAATTTTAGTCAATTTTAATAGATCTAATCATAGAGATCCTTAAACAGAAGGATAAAGTACAATGCATGATGGTGGCTAAAGAAAAAAAGACAGCTTTTGATAACTAAAAAAATAATTTGGGTTAGAAATTTATGGAATTAAGTATTTAAGTTAAAATAAGGGAAATCTTATTTTGAGTAATGTAAATCAAGATTTGAGAGAAAAAAAGAATTATAAATTAACCCAGAAAAGTGATACTTAAAGAAGAGAATGAATAAATAAAAACAGAAAGCAGGTTGTTTTATGTATGTGAAGAAATAATTAAAAGCAAAAAGGATTAAGGACTAAAGATGAAAAATCAGATCAGATAGAGAGGAACCTATAAAGAAATCCAGTGATTTTTAAGTCAACTTGTATAAAATTACAACAAAAATGTATGTATAAGTTTGATGTGAGAGCAGGAAGGAATTAGGAGCTGAAATGCTGAAAAGTGAAAAATGCTAATTAAGAAATAGCTCAAAAATAAGAAATCACTTAGGTAAGTATCAAACTTTAATAAACATGACATAGAGGTAGACAAAATTTACCAGCATATGAAGGATTAATTAAAATGAAACCAGATGCAGATCTGCTATATGCTGGAATAGGCATTATTGAAACTTTTGAGAACATAATAATAGAAACACTTAGCTATGTTATGGCATTTCTAATTAAAATCAATTTCAATTTGGTTGTGATTGTGTAGGTGACGAATAAAATTGATTCTATTTGAATTTGATTTGAATTAAATTTTTGATTATGGCATTAGTCAAAACAGACAAAAAGTAGATGTTGTAAAGTTTATGATTTAAGAACAGTCAGTGATAGAGAATTTCTTAGCAGAGCTTTCTAACACGCAATGTACTTAAATTTGTTAGTTTGGATGCCAAATATGTTAAAGTAATTGATTTCTGATTAGGTAATTATTAGAGGAGGGTAGACACTTGGTTACACCTAAAGTACATTGGCTGATAAGCAGTATACATACATTAGAATGCCTAAAAAGATTTAAAAGGATATAAGATTAATGTTGTTATAACATTTGTAGGATTTAGTTATCTGCATGTCCATATAGCTCAAGCTGTGAAAAAAAAAAAACACTATTGATACAAATAATGAAACATATGATGACTTTTGAACAAATTGTTTAGTGCTTATAGAGGAATATACAATTAAAAGAGGTAGGAATTACAAAATAAGAAGGACTGAAAAGTTAGAAATTCTGTTATTATGAAATCGAGATGCAATAATGTCAGTTAAGATAAATAAGAAATGTATTTTTCATTAAAGAAAATAAGGTAGCAGGTCTAACCTTAGTATAGAGTCACAACGTCAATTTGATAATAGTGCAAATTAAACAACATATTAGTCTCCAAGAAACAATATGTGTAGCATCAAAGGGAAGCAAAAAAGATAGGTATGATTTTTCTAACACATAGGAAGTACATATTGTTGATACAACAGCATTTCTAGATATTGGCATTGGAGATATATTAAGCAGCAAGGATAATGGTCTTCTTATTTGAATGCAGTGATCATTGAAGTGTCAGTTCATTGTTCACAATTGTGACATTTATGCAAAGTAAATTGTAAGTAAAGAAACAATAACAGACCTAATGGGTTATTCAAGAACTTAATAGTGGATGTTGTGATATAATAAAACTAGCATAGGGCAAGAGATACAAGCTTTTGGAAATAACAGGTGTGGTAGATGAGTGTAACATAACTGGTAACCTATATTGTAACAAATATGCTGGAGGTAAACATTCCGTTCAACATTCCATGAAAACGGTCTGGGTTCAATTTCCAGGACAATTCAGATCACTTGGAGCCCAAAAGTCTGGCCGAGACTTCTTGTTGACAAGTTAACGAGTTTGCGACACTTCACAGAACTGTCCTAAAACACTCTCTGCCGACTTCAAAAGAACATGGCAGATAAGAGGAGACAAACCCATCTTTAGTCAGCTTCTGCTCACAGACAAAAGACGTTCCTCTTCAATGTCTTTTATTTAAACAAAGACATTTAGAACCCAAATCTCTTGTTTAATTACACTTAACTTTTGTAATGTGTACCATTCCTCATAGTTTATACAAATTCGTACATTTCAGGCCTTTTTGAAGCAGAAATATTACGAGGATGTGAAAAATTATGTTGATGTACTTTTAAACCCCCCATGTTTGGTACCAATGGGTTTCTGCTGACATTTTACAACACATGATGCATAGAGCAAGATCATAACTAGCATTGCTTTATTCTTTAATCCCCTGTATAAAATGCCTGTCCGCATGCTTTGGGCGGACACTCAAATTTGCATCCGAGCAGCCTTGAGACAAAGGAAGGTTCGCGCGCAAACTTTCTCCTGAAATCATTGGTCAGAATGCTGAACGGGTTGTCACGTGACCCGCAGGTATAACCAGACTTCTTGCCAAACATCTGGGTAAAAAGAGAAGGTCCTAAAAAGAACCCATCAAACGTGGTCCCTTTAAGGGCCACGTGGCTTTCTAAGCCGCATGGACTTTTTCCCGTAACGCTTTCTTTATTTTCCGGGAAAGTAAACTCAGCTTAAAGTTAGCGATCGTGTTCGTCCGAACTGCATTACAAACTCCACCCATCAAGGAGGACATCAAAAGGAGTTTTCATCACGACGGAAGAGAGACTCGCAAAAGAGGGACCTCCAAACATGAAAGTCCAGGTGATTTTAGTTATGCGATAAAGCTGTGCCCCTTTTATCAAAAAAGGTGTTTTTGTTTGGATAATCTTGGTGGTCCTTAATGGTGCGTGTAGAACTGAAAGTTTTGTCACTCTTTTATCTGAAGCCTCTATTTCCTAGCTTTACTATTTCTCTTTGTTGTTACACGTTCTATAGACCCGATGTCTCCACGTGGTTTCCCTTTTTGTTCTGTGTTTAATGTATGTTTGTGCGTTTGTTCGTTATCCGTCTGACTAGTCAATAAATCCTATTATAATCAAATGAATTGTAATGTTTGCCTCACGAGAAAATGTCACTGAAATACAGATTCCCCTGCCTAGCTATTATAAGTTGTTTAAAACTTTTGAATGATTAATCTACTTCACAAGAAGTAGCAATTAAATCCCCTTTAACTAAATGAATAGATTACCGTGTCCGCTCGGAAGAGCAGCGGCTCTGCTTGTGTTTGTTTGGTCAAATTAACAATAAATAGATCCGGAATATTAATGATTAATAATAATTCGCTATTGTTGATAATTAATATTCATAATCTGGGAATCCGCTAGGTCGCGCGAGCATGATCATATACAATCATATGTTTGTTTGACCAAATTGACTGAAGCTTAAGCCGGAATATTAATAATTAAGAATAAACCATTATTGTTGATTATTTATATTCATAAAATTAGCT